AAAAAAAAAAAAAAAGGCACAGGGCCAGACAGTTCCCCAGAATATCCCTCTGTGCCCACCTGGGCTTAACAGTCCCCTCTCAACCAGGTGATGTGGCTCATGCCTGTATTCCCAGCACTTTGGGAGGCTGAGGTGGGCAGATCCCTTGAGGTCAAGAGTTCGAGACCATCCTGGCCAACATGGTGAAACTCCATCTCAAAAAAACTAGCTGGGTGTGGTGGCACGTGCCTGTAGTCCCAGATACTTAGGAGGCTGAGGCAGGGAAATTGCTTAAGCCTAGGAGGCGGAGGTCTGAGCTGAGATCATGCAATACTCTGTCTCCAGAAAACAAACACCGAAAAACAGCCCCCTCCCAAAGGGCAGAGGACTCTTTCAGGATCTCCCAGCAAAGGTGAATCCAGCCCTCCCTGAGTAACCACACCAGTCAGGGCAGCCCCTGGGTCCCAGACACTAGAAATCTTGTTTCGAGTCATCATGAACTATCTCAACTTGACCTCCAGACAGTGCCATGGACGGAACTATTATTGACTCCATTCCCCAATGAGGAAACTGAGGCCCAGGGAGACGTTACCTGCCCCAGATCATGTTGGGTAAATGGTGGAGGTGAGATACATGCTAGCTAGTGAGCCCAAGAGCCTCAGCTTGGGGGAACAGGGTATCCCTGTCCAGAAGGACACAGAAGGGCTGGGGCACGTTGGACACGGTGGCTCATGCCTGTAACCTCGACGCTTTAGGAGGCCAAGGTGGGTGGACTGCTTGAGGCCAGGAGCTCAAAACCAGCCTGGCCAATACAAAACTTAGCCGGGCGTGATGGTACACACCCGTAGTCCCAGCTACTCGGGAAGCTGAGGCAGGGAAATCATTTGAACTTGGGAGGCAGAGGTTGCAGTGAGCAAGGATGGCACCACTGCGCTCCAGCCTGGGCAACACAGCAAGACTCCATCCCAAAAAACAAATAAACAAACAAAAACAGAAGGTCTGGGGGCAGAGTGAGGCCAACTCCTGAGGTGTGAGGGGCTCGGGGGGCTCTAGTGAGCCTCAGGAGGTTTAGAAGCAGCAGCCCTCCTCACAAAGGCCCTCCCTGTTCCGGGCATCATGGTGAGATGCCAGCCCAACTTGACAGTCGCAGCTGAGGGCAAGAGGATAAGGCTCTCGGCCTCTCCTGCCTCAGTTTCCTTATCTGTAAGTGGGGTAGAAAGAGTGGCCACTTCATCATCTTGTTGGCATTGATAATTCAGAGGTGGGTCTGGGAACTGAGCCATGCCTGGTACCCAGTGGGCACTCAATGAATGCTGTGGCTAGGATCTAGCCTTGCTGTGCCAGTGGGTGACCACCCCCAGCCTGTCAGGAAACACTGTGACGGGGGCAGAATGGGGGATGCAGATGGAGCTGTCTGTGCCACCTGGAGGACCCCAGGGACCAGAGGCCCTGCAAGAAGCTGTCCTTGCTGCGCTCCCCCAGGGCCCCTTGTCCTTGAGAGATGCCTGGAGTGTGTGGTGGGCGGGCAACACAGCACGATACAGGCCAGAGCTGGGCCCCATCAGGGTCCCTTGGCACTGCCGCCCGCTCCCAGCTAAGGTGACGTGGGCGTGTCTGGAGCCCTGGGGGACTGTAGCCCAGTCCAGAGATAGTCCAGGATGCCCCCTGGAGGTGGCCCGGGTAGCTTCTGCAGGGGGAACTGCGGAAACTGATCAATGAATGTCTAATGCGGGATGGAAGTCCCTGTGACAGGAAGCAGAAGGAGAGCTGTAACAGCATAGACACATCTCAAAAATGCAATGGTATACAATGGAAAAAACTCCCTGCAGCACGGTAGGCTCCACGTGCTGACATTTTCTGAGCTTAAACGTCAGCAATGGGCTGGGCGAGGTGGCTCACACCTGTAATCCCAGCACTTTGGGAGGCCAAGGCAGGCGGATCACCTGAGGTCAGGAGTTCAAGACTAGTCTGGCCAACATGGCAAAACCCCATCTCTACTAAAAGTACAAAAATTAGCCAGGCATGGTGGCAGGCACCTGTAGTCTCAGCTACTCAGGAGACTGAGATAGGAGAATCCCTTGAACCCAGGAGGCAGAGGCCCCAGTGAGCTGAGATCACACCACTGCACTGAGCCACTGCTCAAGGCAGCCACTTGCCTGCCACGGGCATGAAGCCTGGCCCCGAACAGGAACTCCCTGGTAAGGAGGAGATGAATGAGCAAATCTGTTTTGTTATCTTTAAAATTACTGGTCAGGTGTGGCATGGTGGCTCATGTTTGCAATGAGAGAGCAGTCTGGGCTTTTTTTTTTTTTTTTGAGACATAGTCTCTCTCTGTCACCCAGTCTGGAGTGTCGCGGTGGGATCTTGGCTCACTGCAACCTCTGCCTCCGGGTTCATGAAATTCTCTTGCTTCAGCCTCTCAAGTAGTGGGATTACAGGCATGCACCACCACACCCAGCTGATTTTTGTATTTTTAGTAGAGATGGTGTTTCACCTTGTTGGCCAGGATGGTCTCGACCTCTTGACCTCGTGATCCGCCCACCTGGTCTTCTCAAAGTGCTGGGATTACAGGAGTGAGCCACCGCACCCAGCCCACTGCTGGGATTTAAGCTTAGAAAATGGCCTTTTCTCTCTNACGGAATCTCTCTGTGTTGCCCAGGCTGGAGTGCCGTGGAGCAATCCCAGCTCACTGCAACCTCTGCCTCGCAGGTTCAAGAGATTCTTCTGCCTCAGCCTCCTGATAGCTGGGACTACAGGCATGCGCCACCACGTCCAGCTAATTTTTGTATTTTTAGTAGAGTTGGGGTTTCGCCATATTGGCGAGGCTGGTCTTGAACTTCTGACCTCATGATTTGCATGATCTCAGCAACCCTGGCCTCCTGGTTCAAGCAATTCTCCTGCCTCAGCCTCCCAAGTAGCTGGAATTACAGTTATGCACCACCATGCCGAATTTTGTATTATCATTATTATTTTTAAGTAGAGATGAGGTTTCTCCATGTAGGTCAGGCTGGTCTTGAAGTCCTGACTTCAGGTGATCTGCCTGCCTTGGCCTCTCAAAGTACTAGGATTATAAGTGTGAGCCACCACGTCTGGCCTACAATTTTTTTTTTCTTTTTTTTGAGACGGAGTCTTGCTCAGTTGCCAGGCTGGAGTACAGTGGCATAATCTCTGCTCACTGCAACCTCCAACTTTCAAGTTAAGTGATTCTCCTGCCTCAGCCTCCTGAATAGCAGGAATTACAGGTGCAAGGCAGCACACCTGGCTAATTTTTTGTATTTTAAGGAGAGACGGGGTTTCACCATGCTGGCCAGGATGGTCTCCATCTCGACCTCGTGATCTGCCCGCCTCAGCCTCCCAAAGTGCTGGGATTACAGGTGTGAGCCACCATACCCGGCCTAAAAATTTTTTTTGTAGAGGCAGGGCCTGATTATGTTGGCCAGGCTGGTCTGATTTTGTTAGCCAGCTAAACTCTGGCCAGCAACCAGGCCACCCCAGCCTTCCAAAGTGCTGGAATTACAGACTTGAGCCACTGTGCCTGGCAGCTTTTTTCAGTAAGTGGAGAAACTGGGGCTTCAAGCCCATTTCTGTCTGTTTCTAAAGTCCACGCTCACTGGGCTTGGATCACTTGAGCCCTGGAGGTTGAGGCCTCAGTGAGCTGTGACCATACCACTGTGTTCCAGCTAGAGCAAGACCCTGTCTCAAATAAATAAATAAGTAAAGTTCAGGCCTCTTCTACAGTATACTACCTCTTTTCTAGAAGGGTTCAGATCTGGATCAACCTTCTGGATGGCAGAGGGAGGAAGGTCCCGAGTGTGCCTGGCTTCCAAGGGTAGGGAGGAAGCCCTGTACAGCAGCATCCATACAAACACGCCCTGTGCTAGGCCCAGCGTAAAGAGGACACGTTCTGTTCCTGCCTTCTAGAGGCCCCTCCTCTGCAGGACTGGCAAGACTGCCCTGGGCTGGGAGATGGACATCACCACGCTGCGTTTCATGTTGTCTTTCATGAGGGATTTGAACAGGGCATTAGGAAAATGGAGGTGGGACCAGGCTTCTGCGTGTTCCAAATACCAGAGGCTTCCTAATAAGTTGGCCAGAATTAGCAAACGCAAATACAGCACGTCCAGTTAAACGTGAATTTCAGGTAAACAAGGAGCAGCATTTTCGTATGAGTCTAGCCCATCAATATTTGGGCTATAGTTACACTAAGACATGACTCCTTGTTCATCTGAGATTCAAACCGGGTGTCCCGGGTTTCATCTGGCAACGCCAGTCCGTGGAGCCCAGCGAGGATTGACATTACTACACGCGTGGCCCAGAGGAACCAGGGACAGCCTGGCCAAGCGGGCGGCGCGCGCTTCCGAGTGGCCGGCTCGGGCTAGAGCGGCCGCGGCCCAGGACCCCGCTCTAGCCGGCGCCTCGTTGGGGCGGAAGTGGCGACGCGCACTTCCGCCAGGCGGGCCCGTTGCTGGGCGGGGCGGTGACGTTAGCCCGGAAGGGGCGGGCCCGCCGGGAGCCAGGCCGCGCGGCGCCGCGCCGGCCGGGAGGGGGCCGGAGTCCGGACCATGGCGGCGGCGGCGGCTGGTACCGAGGGGCGGCGCGCGGCCCTGGAGGCGGCGGCGGCGGCGGTGCCCGAGCGGGGCGGCGGGAGCTGCGTGCTGTGCTGCGGAGACCTGGAGGCC